GAACAACTCCGCTGCCACGGCCGTGCTGTTGTCGACAACTCCGCTGCCACGGCCGTACTGTGTTGACAACTCCGCTGCACGGCCGTACTGTTGTTGACAACTCCGTGCCACGGCCTGACCGCTGGGGATCAGTTCTCAGCCATGCCAAGATGGATAGCAGTTGAAGTAATCCCACGCAGGGAAGACGCTTGTTCAAATTTGAGGTGCCTTCAGTCAGGAAAAAAATTCACTCAGTTTTTAGGCATCCCTGTAGCCCAAACTGACCCAGTTCGTTTTCAGGATGGACACTGATAGCTTCATTTACTTGGTCCCTTGCATGAAAGAGAAGGTGGCCCGGATTTCGTGCATAGTTATGGATGGTTCCAAAAAAGCAATAATAGTCATGAAAAATACCGTATTGGGAACGACTGCAACAATATTGACACGCGCTCGGGTGGGGGGGGGGGTCAAATTGCCCCCCCCCCCCGAAGGTTTCTACAGAATGGTTCCCGAACGGTTTCTTTGTACCTCGCAAGGTTGCTGACCTATGGCGGGTCAAAGTCAGACCTTGGCTTCAGCAAAGGCATTTTCTAGGGAACCGTCCAATCTGATACAATAACGGAGTGTTTGACGAAGCCATACATCTCTGAGATGCTTTCTTAGGCAACGCAAGTATTGAATGAGCAAATAACGTTGACCTAAGGTCAGCTATGAAGGTCAGACCAAGGTCAAAATCAACCTGATTTAGTACTCTAGGGCTTGCTGTATGGGCTGGTTTCTGGTGCTCATTTCAAATTTATTGACAGCAGAAACCGCATTATATATCTTCCATTGACTGCTTAGAGGTCAGAACAGGCCATTGACCCGAGATGACCCGGGTCAACATTTTGTTTTAGGAACATACTGCCTAGCGTAATCTTTGTGGCTTATCTAAATGCAAAACTCAGAGCAGCCTTGTATGATTCTGGTCACCATGACCTTAAAAAGGTTCAACAAGGTCAGCGACCTCAAATGGGCTTGTGACCTTTCGCCTAGAAACAGTTACCTAGGTTCTGGGGCACTTTGGAGACCAACCTGGAATTTGACCTTGTTTGACCTCATTTGAACTGATCATCATGATCTAGGAAGCTTAAACTTTGATCTAAGTGAGTTCACGTACAGGTCCAGACACCCTGTGAATTTGGTGTCTCTAGCTATCTTGGTTCTCGAGATCTCAGGGGACTAGGGGATCAAATTCACCCTCATCCCCAACCGAGCGAAGGGTATTTAGCCAGCCACCCTGGTGCGTGTTAAGTTTTACTTTTGCCTTTTTGTCTTAGGATTAAGGTGATGCCGACTATGATTCGGTGTCCCTTTTTCGTGAATCAGATTCGAAGAGAAGAGAAAGAATTGATTCAAATATCGTCTTGGAAAGTCACTTTAAGTCCCCTTATGATTTGGCTGCTAAAAGTTTTTAATCCGAGTCCATTCAAATTACGTGGAGGTGTATCAGACACAAAAATTCGTCCATTGTCACGCTATGTATTTTTCAATTGATGCAATACTAAACAACATCATTTGTCATCATACAAACTAGAATTTCGTTATGATGATAACATTGGAGCTTTAAATCTTGCTGCCGATTTCCTTTAGCAAGGCTCTAAATGAATGACTAGCACCAATGTGCTCGGCTCCAACGCCCAGCAGGATTCATTTGTTCTTCATTTCCCGCAGTCTAAGAACGGTATATTTTTTTAGCAGCTGCGCAATGGCCAGCTTAGGAAACGCATTACAGTACTTACAAAACATGCATCGCCTTTGAGGGTGAATATTTGTCCTCACACCTTTTCGTATTGTTTGCTGCATTCCGCCTCCAGGCAACCCCAACAAAACATTCCCCTGTGGTAGAGCGTGAAAACCCTTTGCCAGCCGCAACAGGGCTGTTTCCGAGCGCTCCAGTCCCGTGAGGTTGAGAAAAACACCAAGTGCGTGAGCCCCCCTCCCCCCATAGATAAAGACCGACGGCACTGCAGTCCCGTGAGGTTGAGAAAGGCACCAGGTACGTGAGCCCCCCTCCCCCATACTTATAGACCGACGGCACTGCAGTCTCAGACACGTCGTCAGATCTCAGGGACCGTGATCAAAGGCCAGTGTACTGAAACTACATCCAGGAAATGTAGGGTATAGTGAGTTTCGTAAACAGTTTTGGCTAACAAACATTGCAGCAGTTTATCATTAAGGATAAGGGTAGAAGACCTGTGTCCTGAAGAAGGTCAGGTAGATGGTCGGGTCCTGGCGATTTGCAGTTGATTATACAGCTGTTATTCTAAGAAATATGTCCTCTTCGGACCTCAGAGCAGTTGATTAATGTTACTCCGACGTTCGAGGCATTGGAACCGCAAGTATCTGTGGTAGCCATTTATTTTGAAGAGCTTACTGAAGAGGCATCAAAACAAGAGAAACTGACACGCAGCCGCTCATTTGGAAAACAGATGTTCATTATATTCAAATAGCGGACGATAGTCTCTCGGCCCTCGGCTATACAGGATGGGAAGCGTGACTTTTAACGGTCTGACCTCGTTGCTACAAGGACAAATAGATGAAACATGCCAGAAGTTGACCAGAAGTGTGGGTTCATTATACACCTAAAAAAGTATGAGTTCACGAATTTTTTTCTTCAGTTCATGAGTAAAAAGTATGAGTTCGCAGCCGTCCCGCACCGTTCGCCCAGCCTCCGGCGGCTTGTAGCGTCACGTAGCGGCAAAGTCGTAAGCTGGTGTTACAGCCGTCCTCGCTTGGTGACAGTACTGGTCAGCTTAACAATGGTGCGCGGACGCGTCGGGAGCAAGCCGTCGAAAGGAGCGTACCAACAAGGGAGAAAGAGAGAGAGAGAGAGAGAGAGAGAGAGAGAGAGAGAGAGAGAGAGAGAGAGAGAGAGAGAGCCGCGGTACCATTTGCCAGCAATTGTGAGCATTTCAGTCGTTCAAATGTTGCGAATAACTTACCAATAAAAATCTCAATAGCATCATACAAACCATGTCTCGCGTTTTGAATGCCAATTACCGCCATGATAAGAACTCGGCTGTGGATTAGTACGCTCTCTGTCCAATCTGGGCGCTGCACAGCCTTACGTGACTCCTCCAATTTTTACATTTTCATATTGACTCCAACGCGCAGTCATTCTTCGTGGCTAAATCATTGACGTGCTGAGCCGATTGGGTAAGCTTTTATGCATGCGTCGATGTACATGTTCGCCAGTATCCGCCATTGTCCTCGCACAGTAATGTGGCATGAATTCAGCTTACCTGTCCACTGTGCGAACCATCGGAGCACAAGCACATCATTTTCTTTCCACCACCACCATGACATAAACAACTTTGTCCCATGAGCGAAAGGCACCGACATGAAGTGCCAAATATTCGACAAATTATTGAATCACACCAGATTGGCCACGGCTAGTTCAGGCGTTGCTCTTCAGTCGTGTTTGTCAGGGGTATATGACTCACTGACAGATATGAGTGTTTAAACTGAAGCCATGTCACCCACATCGAAATAACTGAAGAGCCCTGCTCAACACTCGCTCGCATTCTGACACGCGGGTGGTCGCGACAAGTTAGATCTTTCCCGAATTGAACTGTGCCTGGGCGCGCCTCTGCTCGTGATGGCCGCCCAACGACCGCCTACGGGCTTTGGCGTGCTAATGGACTCGATGGGCCAGCCGGTTGCACCACCAAGTGCCGGGGAAGATGTGTGAAAGCAGCAGTGTTCGGAAGCACAGCCATATGCCATTATCGTCTGCAAAGCATGAGCTGAAACTAAAATAGAAATCCGCCACGTATTTTGACTCTTATCTCTGCAGCATGCCAGGGGACTTCCAGACTGACCGCGGCTGCCGGTCTGCCTCTGCGTCTATTTCAGGGCTTACCACACAATGCACGCTTCTGGGGTCCGAAAACCATCTGAGTAAAGTGAGTTCACTTTAAGGTTACTTTTAAGGGAACCCGAAAACAGAAGTAGCTCAACGCAAGGCAACGTAGCAACGTAGTAACGTAACATAAAACAACGCCCAATGTAGGTCTTTGCGGTCAGAACTTCACTGAGCACAGCCGTGGCTGCGTCCATGCTGTCACACACTGTGTGCCCGTTGACCGCTGCGCCTGGTCGTGGACTCGATGTCTGCCGTTGGTCGTCAGGCTGGACCCGCCGCCGTGCCACCCGCGGTGATCGGGGACCTCCTTGGCAAGTCATGGAACGGCAGAGGCGACGCCAGGGCCGGGGCTGAGACTTCGGGTGTGTTGGGACGTGGGTCTGTTCCGGCTTTGGTTCCTTCCGGTTTCTCCTCTTCCGGTTCTAGTTCCAGCTCCGGCCGGATACGGCATAAGGGGTTAGCCAGGAGAGGGGGCGGGACGGGGCACGGGAGCCTTTTTAACGCGCGAAATGTACGTCGTCGCGCGCCCTGTTATTGAGCGCCAGAAGCTGCAGAAGTCACGCTCAGGGGACATAGTTCTGTTGGGCTTCGAGCCCGTGCCTCCACGTGGAAGCCGGAAGTGTTAACCACTCGGCTATTACACGGCCACGGACATCACAACTTCCCATCAGCGAACACGCTGACACAAGGTACTGGACAATTTTGCGGCAAATCGGTCCGAATGCGCAGGAGTTTGGAAAGAAAATTAGCAAGGAAAGGAAAATTCCAGACACGTGCCACTAGCTACAGCGTCATAGCAAACTGACTTCGGAGTAAAAAAAACAGCTGCTCATTCATCATCCATGAAAGATTACTTCCTACACCGACCGACACACACCGGGTACGCCCTTCAACTCGTGTTGCCGTTCCCCGGGAGTCCTCGCGGCACGTGCCTTCGAGAGACCGCAGCCGCCGCTAGACGCGCCGCTGCCCGGGCGACACCAGTGGCGGCATCAGGCCTCCGACCCCTGGCGGTGGTGGCGGCCGGGCCCAAGGCCGCGCCAGCTGACTGACGGAGCCGCCGACGCGATTGCGTCCGTCGCCTCGCCGGGAGGCGCCGGCAGTGCAGCGCAGGGCGGCAGAAGTGGCGCGGCGGGTCGGGGAAGCGCGGTGAGAGCAACGAGAGCGAGGCGCCCGGCCGCGGGAGACGTGTCAGCTGGTGTTCGACGCGACGTCTGGGGCCGCGGCTGTAGGGAGGTGAGTCTCTAAGACGGCGGTGATTTTGCGCGCCCCCGAAGTTTTTGGTGTGTGTGGGGACGATGGCCGTTCTGCCGGGGTGACTGCGGTGTGGTGACTTGTTTTCGCGTGACGACGGAACTAGAGATGTAAGATTGCGGCGGCTCGGCGTAGGGTGCCGCACAACTCAGCACCAATCGCCGGGCCGGCCGGCACTGATCTGGTACCGGGAGCCGGTACTGAGCCAGTACCAGCGTGCCGCTAGGGCGGTGGTACCTGGGCTGACAACACGGGGTACTCTGGCGGTACCAGGCGATGCTCGCTCGCGTCGAACACGTCGAGGACCGGTACACGTACCGGCACCAAACAGGCGCCGGCTTGGAGCCAGCACGGCTACATATGCGCTGGTGCTCCCGCGGCACAAGAGCGGGTACCAGCTTGTCAAATCTGACATCTCCAGCCGGGACTTCCGCCGTGGAGAGATAGGTCCACGCCGCCGCGGCCCGACTGGCTGGCCGATGTACGTCTGTTGCTGTCACGCGAAGGGTCTGAATTGCTGTCGCTGCGGCGTCTTTTCACTCGCGATGGCACGCCGCAGAGAAAGGCCAGGTCGGGCTGAGACGGGCCGGAGTCTCTGCTTGCTTCGCCGTCCGCGCAACGGGCTTGCTGACTTGATCGATGAAACGAGTCCCGTGCAGTTTGGCGTCGTTGCGCAACGTTTAGGAGTTGGTTTTGGCTCGTTCGTCTAAGTAGTCGAAGCTTAGGAATGTTCCTCGGGTTCCGTTGTAATTGTATTACGTCCAGACGTGACGCCAGCGTGTTGCTGTCTAGGTTCAAATATACACAACGAATAAGCAAAACATCGATTTCCGCTGTCTGTTATGGCGCGTTCAACACACAGTGTCTCGCTGCTGCACGATGTTGGTCTAAAGCAGTAATTCGTCGCACGATTGAAGGCACAATACGCAAAGATGGGCAAATCCAGACGTGCTTCACGCTTCGCCGCCCTCTAAGCCCTGCAGGAATGTTTGGTGATCATGGGCGCAGCCAGGGTTTTCGTAGAGGAGGGGGCGGTGTTTGATGAGTGCGCATGACGATTATGTATTGTAGTGCTTATGTATGTAGTTGGGAGCCATGTATGGGAAAACAACGAAAAAGTCTGGGTCTAATGATCCCCCTGAGTGCGCCCCTAGCGGTGATTAACAGGGATGTTTAGTGTTGCAGACCTAGCAGAGCTTTGACATTTACGCTGTCATGGTCACAGCTATACTGGCGTACCGCCTAAATTGGCTGGATGGCTTCTGTGGCTTCTGTTGGGCCATACACAGTTATTAACTGTGTGTGGTCCAACAGAAACTTCAATAAATGGTTGTTGAAATTCGAACGTTTGTTCGTAACGACGGTATCCAATGTCGATTAAATTGTGCTTCAATTTTCCCGCTTGCTTAGCATTTATGCGGGCAGAAGTAGGAGTATTAGAGCGCTGCCCTTCAGACAGGGACACAATCAAGAGCGGGTGGTGTTCAGGGGTGGGGGGGGGGGGGGGGGGCTGCCTGCCCGCTCCCCTCAGGCCCACATTTTTTCTTCAGATGGTTTCGGATTAAAAATTGCAAATCGATGTGACACGTTCCGATCGTGATTCGGCCCCCCCCCCCCTGAACGAAGCCCTGGCTCAGCCCCTGCCTTCAGATCACTGAAGCCCGCTGACCTATTTTCACCCGCCATCTTGAGTCCTCTGTGTGCCGGGTCTCAGGCGCTTTCCAAACATTCAAACCAGTGGTGAGTGATCTTTGCTGCGTGTTCACACGCTGCGGTGATCTGTTCCCATTCACGAGCTGCACATGAGCCTGAGTTTGAGCCGCCAACCAGTGTAGCGTTTGAAATTGGGCCACGTGTCTTCAACACGTGAACTCGGGTCGAATCCGGGCGCTGGCCAACCGAGGCAGGGCGGTGGTGCAGTGGGATGTGCCGCGGAGTGGCGGCGGTGCCTGGTAATACGTCGGAGGCAAAAGCCGATGCAGCGAAGGTGATTGCGTCACTTCTAAATCGCAGTGGTCCTGGATTCGACGGGGCTTATATCAGGGAACGCTTAGCCCAGGAGGATAGTGGGCAAACATGTGCCTTGTTCCGAATGTTGATTCCTGGTTTCTTCTTGCCCCATCATGAAAACGACATCTTGGATCCTGATTCCGGATGGTTCTTTCAGGGACACCGGCCCCAGGTTCCTGGATACCATTGCTGTTGCAAATATTGGACCTTGGTTCCTGGCTCTCATTGACTCCTTTGGCACAGATTTATGGGCTACTGGTTACCAATGGTTCCTTCGCAGATACAACATCCCGGCTCCCGATTATAATTAGCACCAGATCCCTCGTTCCTTGGTTCTTATTGGCTCCTTCACAAAGACCAAGGGCTTGTGTGGCTTCCATCGGCTCCTTACAAACACTAGACCCTAGTTTCTGGTTCCCGATGCTTCACTCACGAAAGACCAGATCTTGGTTCGTGCTTTCCATTGTCTCATTTGCTAACTCCTTCGGGTCACCCACTGACAAATATTGATTATTAAGTTAAGGGCATGCTCTCTGAAATAAAAAAGAAACATTTTTCATAACCTTTTAATATTTATTTGTGCAACGTGCGTACTTTAAGCAGACTGTGGATACGCACTGGCTTCTGGCCACATGATTTTGGTAAGGTCCTTGTTCGCGCTGGTTCCGCGACTTTATAAGGAATGTTGGTGCTGGCTGGATCCTCGGCATGACTCCAGGATAGAGCTGGGATCTTCCTGTATCCCTGGCCATTTTCCAGGCTGGATACTGGTTCTTGTTGGTTCCCTAGCACATCTCAGTGCGGAATCTGGATTCCGGAGGGTTTTGATCTGATTCCAAAACTGATCCCCAGATTCTTCCTAGTTTCGCGACAGGCAACTAGACACTGGTTGCCGTAAGGAATCTGGGGATTCACGCAATCGTCTAACAGTGAGGAAATCATGAAATTTAATTAAACGAAACACGCCGGTGGCGGTTTTTGTTCCGCATTTTGTCAGGAAAAGCGGGAACCGTCACAATTATACCAAAGGAAGGAATGTGTCCTCATGGAGTAACATTTTGCTTAACTTCGCACTCCGATCAATGACGTTTGTTCGCCGTTCACCGTTTGAACAGCGATTGATGTCCAGTCAACAGCAAACGAACGCACAAGCACTCGCATATTTTGAACATAATGATGTGCCAGCCGCCTGACAGATCTTGCACGATTTTGTAAAACAAGCATTTCATCATTCTTTCCGTGGAACGCACCACATAAAAGCGGTTCTCTAATGGAACAGGGACATGGCGTCTCGTGACAGGATGTGTGCGCCAACGGACGTCCATTGCAGTTGGTCCCAAGATGGACGCTTCCGTCACTATTTATTTTTCTGCGCCCAAGATCGGGAGGCCACGCCCGCGTCTGCGGCTGGTTTGCCAAGTCATTCCCGTCGCCGGACGTTCTGGTTCTAGGAGCTCATCGCTCACATTTCTCGGTATTGTGATTGAGAAACGCTATCAGCAGACCTGTGTGCTCCTCTCGTTTTGATCTGTGGGGGTTAGCGGAGCCCGAGCACCTATCATTAGTATCAACAGATGCTAAGATCACATTGAGTGTCAAACTGGTATTTCGTTGTCTAACATGTATGGTCGATTCTGTCCCACGGCAATGCTCCTGACAATTATTGGCCGATCACGCGTCCCTAAGTTGAAACCCCAACGAGACAACAACCCCCATTGATGGCTACACACATGGCAAAATTTGCGGCTCAGCTGTTTCCGTGTCAGTCAGCTGATACAACACGTCACACAAGGACGGCGCTCAAGATCGATAGCGTGGTGGCAGTTGGAGCAGGTGTGGGTCGTGTAGTTACCAATCATCCCAAGACACACTGCAGCACTTAGGGATGTAGCCAAAGATGGGTGAGTTGGGGCTCACTGAACTTTGACATGGGCTCATAGCCCTCATATGATTCCACAATAGTTGACCAGGACAACTGTTTTTGCCTCAAATCTTATTGGCTGCCATGGATAGTGACGTGTGGCGCCCAACAGCAGTAATTTAATGACAAAGTCGGGGGATGGCCATGTGCGATACATATAGGAGACAACTGGTTTCGGCAGTAGGGCGATCCAGTGGTGTGGCTGGGATTTTGCCCGAGAGGGCGCTAAACCGAGTCACAAGGGGCCCTTTAAGTCAAAGGATCCCCTCGTCGTCGCAATAGGGGCCCGCGTTTTTATTCGTTTTACTTTTTGTGCTCGGAAATCTGTTTTCCTGTTTCGTGGGACCGTTTTTGAATGTCTGTGTTAGTGTTATGTTTGACATCGTTTGGTTGTTTAACAGCCAAAAAGCACTGGGGCCTTCAGCCTCAAAGGACCCCAGCCACCTCCAGGAAAGGGGCATGGCCGCAAAAGCTCCCCTCGTGGCTACGCCGCGAAGGCAAACGAACATTGGTTGCCCAGTGATACGCAAGGCACTGTACCTCCTATCGCTTGCGGAGAGGACGTATGTCCGGGATAACGGGTACGCTGTAGAGATCGGCCATCTCGATTCAGGTTGATGCACGCTCGGAACCGAAGCGTTGAAGAAAAGACTGAAGCAACTACGATGATGTCTTGGATACTAGGGTGCCGGTAGTGTAGTGGTTAACGCGTCTGCCTTAACCACTCCACGTCTGGGAAACCAGAGGCAAGGTGTTCGATTTCCCGCGGTGCCCGCCCTTCCTGCCCGGGCGAGAGGCAGGCGGCGCTATATAGCCTCAGCAGCTGAGTGCGTCGTTAAGCCCCAATGGTACACATGTCTTAAATAGCCGAGAAATGTTGAAAACTCTTAGTTTTTCGACATTATGAGCTACTATCCAGTAAATATTAGGAGCTTGTGTGCGCGTTATCCGGAACATAATTCGAATCACTGTGCGTAATTTGTGAGCACTTTGTGGAGGCGAACCCAACGCGGTGGCTGGGCATGCTCAATTAGTGCACTAGACCACATCC